CGATTGTTGGCCTAAAACTTCTAGTTCCAAGCTCAATATCAGTGAACTTCCAGAAGTTAAGATTACAACTGATAACATTTTAGTATCGACTAATGCCGAGAAAAATGAATTATTGACTACTTTCTCTTCATGGTTAAAGCTCAAAAAAATAACAGCTTTATTATTACGATTCGTACACAACACAAAGGACCCATCAAATAAACTTACAGGTTATTTATCATTGAAGGAACTTGAACAGGCTACCGTGTCAATTTGTAAAATGGTGCAAAGTGAAGCTTTTTACTCGGATATTCAAAATTTGAGAAAAAATAAACCTTGTTCATATAACATACAATCTCTCGCTCCCTTCATAGATAAGGATGGCCTAATCCGAGTTGGCGGGCGGCTAAAGAATGCTCTTATCAGTTTAGACGCTAAACATCCAGTCTTAATGCCCAAATCTCACTATGTGTCAACGTTGATTGTTGATTATTATCATCTGATGTATCTTCACGCTGGACCACAGTTTTTACAATCTCACATCTCAAAGCGTTTTTGGATTTTATCTGCAAGAAGCTTAATTCGATCAAGGGTTCACAAATGTATAACATGCTTTCGTTTCAAACCTCGCACTGTGTATCCTAAAATGGGCGATCTACCAGAACCTCGTGTTAATCCTTCTCCTTGCTTCAACGCCACTGGTCTTGACTACGGAGGCCCTTTTGATATTAAAGTGCACACTTTGAGAAGAGCTCAAATTGTTAAAGCTTACTTGTGTTTATTCGTATGCTTCGCCACAAAGGCAGTTCATATTGAGATTGCATCCGATTTAACTACAGAAACATTTATCGCCGCTTTGAGTAGATTCGTTGCACGAAGAGGAGCCCCATCTCATTTGTATATGGATAATGCCACTAACTTTGTGGGAGCTTCACGTCAGATAAACAGAGTTATAAGAGATCTTATGAGAAGTCAAGATACAAAAGATAAATTGAATGAATTTGCCGTGCAGTACGCAATTCAATTTCATTTTATACCACCTTCAGCCCCTCACCAGGGTGGTATATGGGAGAGTGGCATCAAAAGTGCCAAAACCCTATTGAAAAGAGTTATTGGTGAAAGAATTCTCACTTTAGAAGAAATTCAAACTTTATCTTTGCGTGTCGAAGCCATTTTAAACTCTCGTCCACTATGTCCCATGTCATCTGATCCATCGGAACTCGACATTCTAACTCCAGGACATTTTATCATTGGAAGACCCATGATTTCCCTGCCTGAATCAAACCACGGAGAGTCACCTATGAATCACCTGAAACGCTGGCAAGCTGTACAATCGATGGTTCAACATTTCTGGAAGAGATGGCAAGTTGAATACCTACACACACTACAGCAGAGAGCGAAGTGGACCAAATCACACCCTAATGTAGAAGAAAATGATTTAGTCTTAATTCATGACCAATCAGTCCCACCTCAAACTTGGATAAAAGGAAGAGTCATCAAAACACACCCTGGACGTGATGGCGTCACTAGAACCGTCACCCTGAAGACAGCCAGTGGAACGCTCACGAGACCTGTCGTCAAGATCTCACCCCTTCCTAAGTAATCTACAAAAAATAAAAAAAAAAATAAAATAAAAACAAAAAAAACACAAAAAAATAAATAGGTTTATTTCATATGATATCTATTTCTACAAACATACTTTTTTATTTTCAAATGGAACTTTCTTTCAAGAGAACTTTTAGTTTTGTTTTACATTGCGAATCCCTGAGTGATTCACGGGCGGCGGTATGGACAATATCACAAAAACATAATTCAACAAGTTTTAAACGAACCTGAACACAGTGCAAACTTTTTCCTGACTTATTCTTATCCCTGTCCTCTCATTGGTCAATTTTAATGTTAGTGGAGAGGGAAAGACGCCACTTGGTCAGTTCCGCATGTATCGTCGTACCGGCAACTCCCGTGCTTCACGGTCACAAACTATCAAACCGCAAAAATATATAATTTTACCGTTCAAATACAGTAATACTTCGTAAAAGTTGTTTTTTAGTTCTTTTATAAACTTTTGGACAGTGATTTTATTTTATTTTACCTTTCACTCGAACACGTGCTCGAGATCGTGCACAGACTTGTCGAAAAAGCGTGGTTTCTTTTAGTTTTTACGTACAATCTGGTTTTTGAAGTGCAAGTTTATTTTGATATTTTGGAGAAGAGTGTGTTTGTGTCATCTTATGCCATTTTTTGACTGTACCATCGTCATCGCCCCCCCCCCCCCCTTCTAGAACGTCACTTCAGTTCCCAAAGAAGGCGCCTTCTCCCCCCTGCTGAGTCGACTCCCCTCGCTGATCCCTGGACCACGTTGCTGAGAGGCCCTGTACCAGCAGCCACAACCTCCCAAGGACCAAAAGTGCAGTAGTATTATCAGGTACTGTGCTCCAATCAGAATATTACTTGCACTATTTCATTTATTAAGCAAAAGTTATTGTAGAACTTTCACGGTGTTGTTTCTTTACGAACTCATTGACATTTGTAAATTCTGAGAAAAACCGGCGCATTGCTGTAACCGAGTATTTCGTTGCAGTTAACATTTCATTTCTAGTTGTCCGAGAATTTACTCAATAACTATAATTAACGAGCGACTAAACTCACGTTCGGGAGTACGTTACGGGCACATTAAACAACCGGTGTTCTTGAAAGTGTGCACATACAGTTTTAGGTAAAACAAATAATATGCTAATACTGAAATAAATATCCTTGGCCATAGTGGAGGAATCCTAAAATAGGCTTAACCTACAAATAAAAATATACCTAATAGTATTCTATCTATGACAATCCCACAACCAAACAATTAGTGAAACATATTAAATACTTTGAAATAAACTAAATAAACAATTAAAAAGGTAAAACCGTAAAAGGGTTTGGTAATTAATTGTTTGTAAGTCTAACAATCTATTCCTGCTTCAAAAATACCTAGCATTTCTAAAAGAAAGAGTTTCCCCAATTCCTTGTCCCAATAGAAAATGATTATGTTAAACATAAATATATGTTTTATTTGAGATCGGAGCAAGTTTGAGTATTAAGTTTGATTTGAGAAGACACATTTGGTGAAAGGCAACCTGAACACAATCGTGATGTTATCATTTGCATTAAATCTTTAATTGCTCGATAAAAAGGGTTATCTACGTTTTATTTAATATAATTTCATTCTAAAGAAACACAAAGAAGCAAGAGGAAGTTCCTAACGCTTCAGCAGAAAAAAACAATGAAAAGATAACTCCCACCTCTTTTCCTCTTGCTACGTTGATAAAAGGATGATCTTAAAGTTGTAATACCTAAAATACAGGAGAAACCTTCAACTCCAACCTTGGCATAACCGACTCCTCGGAATGTCCGATATCCGACCGTCTACTTGTTTTCTTCTGGGAAAACTGGTAAAAATGTTTGGACCCGGGACCGCAGGAACCGGAGTCCCGCGCTCTAACCACTAGACCAGCTAGCCCAAGCACATAACAGTAAGTCCAAGTAATTTGATGATTTTCAATTGTTAGAATAAACAATACAAATCAAAAGGAAAAATGAGTATGGACTTATTTCTCCCGACGTCTCACCTTTTGGCCGTTATGACAATGGCTAGTACCGTCATGGTCGGATATGAGGTGTTCTACTGTAGTTAAATCTATATAATTAATACGCTACATGAAACTTTGTCGGTTGAACTCCCCCGCCATTTCTTAATAGATTTTATCCGTTGACGTCTCATTGGTTGACGTCCCGTTGTCGTGTAGATTTGCAAACTGGCCTTACATTTTTGAAAAAGTCCCTTGGGCTCTGCCCCAGTGGCTTTGAAAGTTCCCATGTTATCCTTATGAACATAATTGTTTACATTTTGATCAGCTGTATAATTTAATTGCTGTTATTTATTTTTCAATTCAACAAAACGCATTGGGTACATTTACTGATTTTGTTGAAATTAAATATTTACTACTTTAATTTACATTCGTACATATTACAATGTAAAAAATCGAGAAAGCCTGGGACATTTGTTATATTTTACCAAATAAGAAAAATTAATTGATACAGTACTGTATTCCTTGAGCAATTGAAAGAAGCGATTTTTTAACCATGGAAACATAGGAAAGCCATAGAACGCCACCAAGTAGAAGAAATATATATTTAAAAAAAATTACTATCGTTATAACCTATATAATGAAGGAACACCTACAGCTACAATATGAAGATTCCCACAAACAATGAACAAGGATGTTAGGCGAAGTGCTACTATTTTGTAGGAAAAAATGGACTTAACTTTATGATGATTGACAAAGGAAACCCCTTTAAGTCTGAATTAAACTGGACGGCAAGGACATTAATCATTAAATATACGTTTTCATAAAAGTCAAGTGATTTTAAAAGAATGTGACTACATCCAAGAAACCACTTTCATTGAAGGATTCACATTACTGTATTCACATTTAAGGGAACAAAAAAACCATCTGAACGACATTAGGCCTTTCAATTCTGCATTTATTTACAATATAACAGTAACTAGCCAAATGAATGCCAATTGATGCAAATAAAATTGCAACAGAGAGGTTATGCAGAAAATCAGGTAGTTCTTAGTCATGTAAACAAAATTTTATCGCTATAACAAATTTACTGAAATTTGTAAACGTACTGGCGACAATGGGTGGTACCATGCAGACTACATTATCATTGACGAAGATCAACACGGACAACCTAACACGGCTATAAAGTGGGAATCATTTTAAAAAACCAGTTCAGCTTTTGAAAAATTCTAAAATATTTACAAGAAATGTTGATTATATGGAACTGTTAGGTAGGCTACGTATCTATGAGTTGAGTCTTTTAAAAATCTCTGGAAATTATGATGACTTTTATTTGTTTTTAAATAACTACTGTACTTCTTTGCAATTGCTCGATTTCGAGCAACGTGTACACTAGTACCATCTTATTTTCCAACTAAACAAATTAAATCAAAGGTTAATAATTATATTGTCAAATTATGTAAATGTAGATCTTTATATCACAGATACATTTTATGATGTCGAAAATGAAAAGTCATTAACAAACAGGCCCTATAGATATAATACTTCAACCTGGTCATTTTTACATTATAAAACATGGTATACATTGAACTAACCTTAACCTGTTTAAATTTAATTAAAACAGGGAAAGTGTAAGTTGAGCAAAAACTTGTGCTTAAAAAGATAAAAGTATTTTGTAAGTTCTCCACTTACAACTTTGTTAAATAAGAAACTTGTTAATTTGTCTATTGTGCAAAACAAAATTGCTCTTAACAACGAGCTGTGCGAGATCCGTCAACAACTGTTTAACAGATTACATTGGTTGTGTTTCTCATTTATTTCTTTACATAATCTTTTATACTTTTGGACTTTGGCTTCTTTTTCGTAGAGGACTCACCCCCATCCGATGGCCTTTTTTGGCTTTTATCTGAAACAAAGAGTATTGGTATATTTATTTCCTACACAAAAAATAAAGCAATATATTCTTAACTCCATTCATAGCAACACTGTAGCAATTATATTGTTTTAACATTCTGTAATGAATTCGGCAAAGGGATTAAGAGTAGAAGAAAGAAGGGAAAGAAGATAATAAAAGATACGTTAATATATCTTTAGGTGATATGAAAAGTAAAGTTTATAATTATATCTTCTTCAAATCAAACCTGGGGATTTAACATACCCGACAGCAAACCTGCCGACTAAGCGAATTTCCATTGGTCTGAATTGATTTTCAATTAAATCTATTTAAATAACATTAGGTTTCTTGAGTACCTAGGTTTGCTGCTACAAGGAAAGTAATGAAGTGTATTTTTTTGTAAAATATTAAATTATTAATAGCTTAGTATAAAATAAATAAATTTGCCAAGTTTGATCAACATATATCCATAAACAAGCAAACTACAACATTTTACAATATTCTCCATAAAAATAACATGAGAATTTTTAAATTTAAAATTTTTTTGTATTTTGTCTGTTACTAATAATTGTACAAAAACACTTTGATATAGGCCTACTAAATTATTTGTTTTTTAATCTCTTTAAAAATATCTAGAGAGACATTGGGAAATTTTGTGTTTTGAGAGTCAAAAATGAGAACAATTTTTTACCTCATAAAACCCTCTTTCCCATGGTCCGATCATGCTGCTTCGTGAACTCATTCTAGTTTATCCCGCCTTATACCTTTAAACCAAATTTCATCAAAATCGACAAAAATTACTCAAGTTATTGCGTTCATGGATGTATATATACATATATATAAATCTGAACGAATGGTCTTTTTTGTCCTCTGGGGACATCAAAATGATCAAGTAAATCGGTTCCAGGCCTAGGTCTTACCGTACCACCTATGGTAATAGCTCCCTATAGGGAAATTTGATAAAACGTCCTCACATATACCAAATACACACAAAAAGTTATTCAAAAAGATTTCAAACATTTACCTGGTGAAGCTTTCATTTCCTTTGTGCTCTTGTATGCTGCAGACATTCTAGCTATGTTCTTCTTGTAGACCTCCTCGTGTTTGACTATTCTCCGAGGGTAGTCCGTACCTACGACACAGCCAGCTGTCTTCTGTACGGACATTGGAGCTTCCCATGGCTCGTAAATATACTCTGGGGGAAACTTTTTGACTTCGGGCACGTACTTCCTGCAACGAAACATATCACAGGAAAATTACAGTAAAAAAATAAATCTAGATTTAGCACTTAAGAGAAATATTCTAATCAAAAGAGTATTTGAATAGACTACATCAATATTTTTACAATGGCTAGCGAAAAATCCTTTTGTTTTATTTTGTAGGGTAGGTAGCTATTTAAAATGTTCTAAAATTATCCTTTTGTTTTATTTTGTAGGGTAGGTAGCTATTTAAAATGTTCTAAAATTATTCTAGCAATCTAGGGAAGATGATAATCAAATGGTAAACAAATCCACAAACAGTTTTTCTATATGCTGACTGTAAATCATAGAAAAAAAGATTTAAATATAGACTGTCAGCCGTGCTGCCGTTACCATAGGTTCTGGCGCACACCGCTAGGAGCACTGTGTAGTTACGTAGCGTGTAAGCCGTAATGACATGGCGCTCCCAGTGGTGAGCGTCAGAATCTATGGTAACCACAGCATGGATGACGGTCTATATTTAATTCTTTTTGACTATGTTTTAATGCAACATAACTGAGCAGTAAATGCATATTAAATTTCATTGATTCTATAATTAGATCAGCATAAAGGGTCAATTTGATCTTTTAATAAAAAAAAAAAAAACTCTTGTTTTCTGCTATAAAGAGAAAAAAACAAATACTCCAAATCACATAATAGCATGTGTGTTTTTTGAATCTTGTATTAGAAAGATGTGAAAAAAGTACAAGAGAATTATAAGACATCACTGACCCATATAGACAGTCAAGAGAATATAATTAACAAGTATTACATTTAAAACATATTAAAATAACAAAAAATACCTGATATAATCTCCGAGTTTGTCAGTTTTCTTGCCGAACACTACTGGGCTGTAAACACGGTGGAACTGATGGAAAAACGCAGATGCTGAGAGCCACATCCAGTTGCCTGCGTTCAGCGACCAATCCTGGTCTAGCAGTAGCTCCTCGAACACCTGATGAAAGGTAAAAAAGGTTATCACCATATTTTCCAGTGTGTTGGAATAGTAGAGACAGCTACTATGAAAAGTAAATTTAGCATTGATTTTGTTTTATTTATAACTAGATGTTAACCAAGGGCTTCACCCCGTTTGACCTCACAAGTATAAATAAAACTATTGATTGGTTAAGTTAAGCTGAAATAAACAAAACAGAATACAGTAATACAAACAAAAAATCACACCTGATTTTAATAAGGTAATAAATTGAAAGAATAACATACAAATAAGTACAGCTGAGGTATTTTTAACATTAGGTGTATGGAAAGTTCCCTTTAGAAAGGAATTACGATCTTAAAGGGCAATTTATGAAATAATGGATGGTTTTGGCAAGGTTTCTAGTCATGACGAACATTTTAAATATATGGTTTATGGTGGTGTGACTTGTAGTTTTCTCAAAAGTTCATGGGTACTTTGGGATTTATATATGGATTTTCATCAACAGAAGTGTGGTTTTTGGTTACAGTGCTTAGTTATCAATTCAATTATTTGAGATGGGGAAGCCACTAGTGTGTATTCTAATCCAAATATGAGTGAAGGATGCATGTAGAATGGTGTGTGATGATCTGTGTAGCTTTGTTACTGACTAGGATCAGCTGGGTCTGGTTCCGAACCATCAAAAAGCTACTGACTTTTCTCACTTCTGACTTTAAACAATTCATGTTATTAATTTATCTTTAATAGATTGGTATATGTAGTAAAAAAGTCATTGAGTTAGAGTTGAAAAAATATCTTCCAACAAAGATATTGCTGAAGAAGATTCCAGTGAACACTTTGAATCAATATAAAGTAGTGGAAGGACACTCAGGAGTATCATTATGTTAAATAGGCCTATCTCCCGTCACCTACTAATTCAAATGTTAAACAAAATAAGCTACGGTAAGCCAAAAATTTTAATCTTTTATCTTACATCACAACGCTTTTGCTGCACATAAAAATTACATAATGAAAAATCATTATGGACAGAGACTACCTATGTTACAACTAATGTTACTTCTCCAACAAAACTTACTTTTTGGCCTTCCTCCCAAGACTGCCACAGGTCGCCTCGTGTGAGGAAGCAAGCAACGGCGTGCCGCGCCAGGTGGTGTATCCAGCCCTCCTGGCGTAACTGGCGCATAATGGCGTCAATGAACGGATAACCAGTCCGGCCCTGCGATGAGAAATTAATGAAACTCACGGATATATTGTAAAACCTATCATTTTATAAAACTCTACAGCTAATGCTTTGAAATTATTAGCTGTTATGTTAGTATCAAAATATCAACACTGGCAGCATTCGAGAACAACCGGGCCATTGATTTGTTTTTGCTATTGCTATCCTTGAAGAAATCAAATATCCCTGCTAGTTTAATTACTTCAAGGAAGTAGGACATTGAAAAAGGTTTATGAGGTTTTATTCTATTAGATAGCCTAGAATATGTATTGCATCTTAGTGTGGAACTCGCTGTTAAAATATCAATTCATAGTGATGAAGGGGAGACAGAGAATAACAGGAGAAGATAGGAGTACGATGATAGATGAGAGAAGAACATTGAAGGGATAGGAGAAGAGGGGGCCTAACTGATGCTTAGATTTGGGAATAGTCAGAATGGAGGAGAATTATGTATGCATGTAATCAAATTGTAAAAAAATAATTAAAAATGGTGTTGGTAGCCAAATTGTGTTAGTGATCTGAAGGTTGCAGATTTTGATACTACTATTTTTAGGCAAAGACAAAAGTAGGGGATTTTGGTAAGGAACTCATATTGAGTAGGTTTTTTTTAGTGACTTCGTAATGTGATTTTGGGTCCAAATGCTGTTTGTCACTAAGCTTTCGACTGATTCTATTTAACAAAATAATTTGGATCGTTCCCTTGCAAAAACGTAAAAACTGCCAATTAGCGTAGAAAAACTCATAAAAAGGAAAAGAAAACATTAGCCTACAGAAATATCCTACAGTCAACGATTCAGGCTATACAATGTTGACTCACATGTGCCCAAGCTTCAAGATACTCCGGGTTGTTGTCCCACGGCACCTGTGCGCAGACAGGATTGTCGACCATCTGGTCAAATTTGGGAGTCGCAGCCGCCACCGTGTAGTAGAACTCTCTCCAGTACATCTGTCCCATAAGAGACACGGGTGGCTTGGAGTGAGGTCGGCCGGTGATCACCTGAACAAACATCGTTTATTGGATTGATCAAACATATCAAGATGTGCATATTAGGGTGAAGTGTGAAGAATGTTGAATGAAAGAGTTGCTTTCGGTATCTAAGTTAGTTGTTTAGCTATTAACCATAAACTTTCAAATCTCTTGAATTGAATTAAATAACTGAATGTCACTTCATTGGGCTACTAAAATGTATCCAGTTCCAGTGTTTGAATAAACATCAATATATAAAAGGGCAGCCAGCAGTATGAAATAAAGTGGTGACTACAGGGCCGGTTCTAGGAATTTTTCAGAGTTAAGAGAACACCCGAATCAGCGCCACTTAGAATCCCCCCCCCACGACCCACCCTCAACCCATGAACATTACTTAACCGTATTTGTGAATTTTTTCCCAAAGATTTTGGGAAGAACTTTTTTATAAGTTTAGGTTAGAAGAATACTTGCAATAAAAAACTGTTTATTATTCCCCCGAATTTAACATTTTTACACTTTTATTCATCGTATAAACTTTAGCAAAACCAAGGCTACACTAAAAAACAGGCCGTAATGCTCGTCAAGCATGACGCCACGATAGAAGACGGCAATGACGTAATGTTTGCCGTTTTGTGATCAGCTGCTTGTTTTAATCTTTCCTTGGAAAATAAATAAATAAATACCTACGTCATTGCCATCTTCTATCGTGACGTCATGCTTGACGAGCATCACGGACCAAGTTAACAATTTATTTCTAAATGTGAAAACAATTTTTACGCCACACTACACTATTTTGACGAACTTCCCACACTAGGATTTAATCCAGAAAACAGCTGTTTGCCGCCAGCTTAATCAAATGAGGTTTCATTGCGTACTACTGTACTGTAATGAGTTTTACCGGACACCAATCAGCTGATTACACTGTATTTGGGTGACAATGAGTGGTTATAAACAAAAACATAACCTCTCTTAAAGGTTATGACTAGTGATTTTTAGTCCTTTAGTTGGTGGTAATATGTAAGGATTTGTACAGATTTAGTAGTATGGCGTTAACTATCGTACGTAACTTGTCCAAAATGTGTTAACGGGACTCGTATGGTAATCCCGTACTCGACCGTCTCGCATGGGAACGACCACACTCGTCCGGTAAACACTTATTTTCAGGACTAGTAACGTAATATACTATTACAGGATAACTTGGATACGATATAAGATAGCCTATTACAATGAAAAACATGTGTAGATAGATGACAAGAGAGGAATTTTTAATTGAACACATTAAACATGAAGAAAACATGAAAAACCAAATTTATTACCTTGACAAAAGAATACAAAATTATCAATTTGAACAGTTCAAAAGCTTTTAGCAGTTAAAAACTAATTTTCCTAGCTTTGATCTTGGCAAATTCTTTAATTGCAGAGTTGGTATCAATCTGGTTCAGAACATCAGAATGTGGTTCAGAACATGAGTCATGAAATGAAACCCACAGGCGCCGCGCTGTAGTACGCTGCCGACTGCCGAGCGTCAGCTCACTACAAATCGAAACTACAAATGGCATTCAGTCCTTGAGTTGTAGTGCTGTACAAATATACACATTTTTCATATGCTGTTGATACAAACAGAATAAATGCCTTTATTGTGGTGCTTTGAATACTTGAACTCTGAGCAAAAATAAACAAAATTACGTTATTCACTAAAAAAAATTGTTCCGTTGGCGCCACGGCGCCAATTTTTCGTGGCGCCATATGCGGCCGCTTAGTTCGCGTATGGGTTAAACCGGCCCTGGGTGACTAAAATCTTAAAATTGGACATGTACAGTCCGAAAAACAGCCACACGTCCTTTCATTTATTTTTAAGACTTATTGAACTTAAAATAGTTTTTCAGGTCAAAATTTCAAAAAACCATCATATCACAACACAGTTTACTATAAAACTAGTGCACTTGTTGCTCGAATTCGAGCAATTACCAAGTAGTACAGGCGTTACTTTAAAACTAATTAACAGTCATAATTTCCGATGACTTAAAAGAGTCACTCAAAGATAACGTAATCAATCGCTCCACTCCAGTTATCGAAACTGAAAACGAACGCTCTTGTGTGTATAATGTGTTTACTATGAACAGCTGTTAATACAAATTATAGTTATTCGTCTGTTTAAGTAAACAAAATCTTTTCTTCATAAGAAATACATGGGGATTATGATGGCCTGCGGGGCAAAGCCCGAGGACTTTTATCACAGGAATTGGTGAAAGGGGGCGTCTACACAAAAAATGCTTCATACTGACACATCTTTTGTAAAAATCCGTCCATTATTAACGGAGGAGTAGTGTTTCGTAGAAATCGCCTTCACGTATTATATATAAGGATTTGTATGTAAAATAACAACAAAATAGTACCTAACAAGCAAGTCAAATAAATTCAACATTACACAATTATATTTAGGTTTGATGGGGCGAAGAAAAATTGTAAACCAAATAAATATAGAAAAGAAATGCTCTGTAAGAAATTATTAGATAGTAATGTAATAACTTATGCCAAACCTCTTTGAGTTTGTAGTAAAACAGGCGAGAAGAGAGACATCCAAAGCGGAAGTAAGGACTCAGAACTGTAGTGCTTGGCTTCAGGCTGTTCGGCGATGTATTAGGCTTCTCAAACTTACAAATGTACTCCTTGAAATCAAACATGACATTTAAATTAAAAATTGCTGAAATACAATCATAGCCTCTACCATAGTTTGTAAAATTATAAAACAATGAAATAAATTACAAACACCATGGAATAACCATGTACCAATGAAGGCATAAATATCCATAAGAGAAATGTTAAAGGTTAGTAGAATACAATTGTTTTAGTGCCAAAAGATCATGCAATAAAATAATAACAATTTGACTATGCTCAAGCTGTCTTTGAATTTGGTGTAGACAAATTACTGTGTATTTAGTTTAAATAAATATATAGGATGGAGAGGACACAGCTAACTCACCTGATGAAAGGTTGCAGACGAGTCAAAGAACACATAAAATCACACACATAATAATACTTAATATTTCGCCTCTTTCAGAGGCTTCTTCAGAAGTAGGCCTAGATGGTAGTTACAAGAACAACAGTTTAAAATAGGAGTGTATTTAGTTTATAATTTTTTTATTTAATTTTTAATTATTAGGCTAATAATTACCGGTAGCTTATTGTTAAAAATCATTTTATGCAATAGCCTAGTTTATATAAAATCCCACATAAGCACCGAAAAACTGCAACATTTTCAACAAATATTGTTAAAAACTCAAATAGCAATTGTAAAATGTTAATAAGAAAAATCCCTCAGCGAAATATATTAGTTTCGAATTGCACAATACAGTAGACTCCTTCTTATCTGGACACCATTTAACCGGACATCGGTTTAACCAGACTACACTTGGCAGAAATTTCATCTCTTTAACAGGACTATTTTTATCAGCACATCGGTTTAACCGGACTAGATCGGCAGGAAGTGGGCGGTACTAAAACAACCGTTCTCATGGGAAAGATTTGAAATCAGTGATCAGGTGTCTAAATACAATGCTCTCATAAATTTCAAGTCAAATACTGTATTATAATCCATATTTTCTAGCCCCTGAGCTGGTTCTATAACTAAATTGAAATTTTACCTTTGTCATCCAGCTCCTGATATTATTATTAACTTGTTACGGCCGTTTCAGCATCACTGTGCCATCGTCGGACTGTTCAGCCAAAAGGCGTCGTTAAAACACAAAAACATACACACGAAACACACACATATTTGTCAAAACGGGGTTTTGAAAACAGGCCTGTTGAGGATAGTACATTCCCGAACTTGAGCAAGTAGCTGACTCAAGTCTCTGAGTCAGCTAGAAATGAACAGTCCGACGATGGCACAGTGATGCTGAAACGGCCGTAACAAGTTGATAATAAATAATAAATAAATAATAAATAAAAATGCCTTTATTTATTAAGCGTTTCTCAGTACAAATACTGCTTCTCAGAACAACTTTCGTCAAAAACAATATAAAACTAACAACAAATAAATAGAGCAATAACAAAACAGAAACAAGACAATATGAGTAACAGTAATTAACCATCAGTGCACAATTCTTTGATCTTAACTCTAAATGATGATAAAGAATACTTTTTGAGGCCAGAGGGGAGGTCGTTGTACAGTTTTGGACCGAAGTACGAGAAGCTTCGTCTCCCAAACTCAAGCCTCACTCTTGGAAAGTGAAGCTGGAGACCACCATGGCGGGTACTGCGCTGAGAGACCTCCTCCCGGAAAGAGAGCCTCTCAAGAAGGTACTGTGGCTCCTGTAAGACAAGAGCCTTGTGCACCATGCAGCACGTCATGATCCTGCAAACAGTGTCTACTGTTGTCATCCCCGCTACAGCTCTATAGGGAGAGACATGTTCAAATTTTTTGAGGCAAAATATGAAGCGAATAGCTGAATTTTGCAGTTTCTGCATTCGGGTCATGTCTACTCCAGAGATGCTGTTTCCATAAGCAGGGAGACAATATGTAAACACCGACAGGACTAGTGACTGCATGAGGCGCAGCTTCGCAGATTCTGGCAGCAGACTTCTAAACCTGTACAGCCCTCTCAGCCTTCCTAACGCGCGCTGCGAAGCATGTGTGATATGTAATAATATCAGGAGCTGGATGACAAAGGTAAAATTTCAATTTAGTCAAATACTGTATGCAGTATGCATTTAAACGGTCCGTTTTAACGAGTTTTTGGGGACATCGGTTCAACCGGAATACCCGTTATCCGGACTGGCATCGGTTTCGAGGAGTCCGGATAAGAGGGAGTCTACTGTACATCAAACACATACCTTGTAAGCCTCGGCAAGCTACACTTAGCAATAAAATCAACACTAACCAACAAATATTAAAAGCCTACTCTACCGTTTTTTTCAGATGTTCTTCCATTCTACGGAGAGCCTCCGTTTCACCACCAGGGTACAAGCAAGGGCCCATCGTACTGTGGTCAACGCCCAGCTTCTCCAAAGAGGGAAGGAGGTACTTTCCCTCGTCCAGCGGGGCCCGAGCAGCAGTAGGTACTGAGACGGGGGCCTCCACAGGCCTTGGTGGGGCCGGCATACTCTCCGCGACTGATATCCACTTCTGCATTGTTAGCGGGGTTTTACCCAAGTTCTTTGCGATTACACTGGAAACACATTATTTTAGTGTTACGTTATGTTACATTTGATGAATATTCTAATGTTGTTAAACCTTGCTTATATGATTAAAATACAGTAGAGGGTATTTGATCAAGGATATTTGAAAATGGTAATCAAAAGCCACTTGTTATCGAGGGTTTTGTTATTGAGTTTCCACTGAATACATAATAAAAATCATTTTAAAACTGAGAGAACCATTTTGTAACTGGTATTAGAATAATTAATTACTCTTTACACAAACATCTAACTGAAAAGCTTAGTCCTGAGTATATGGCTTCAAAACAACACAAATAAATTATTGATAGAATGCCTAGCTTAAGTATATAGATTCAATATTTTTATTTCTCATTGACATTTAATACTGGTTCCAAAACCATTTTCATATACACAAAAAAATAGTTAAGCTGTTAAGAAGAGTCATATTTGAAATGTAATTGCAAAAAGTTACATTTTATAGACTAACAAAACCGGTTCCTAACAATATTGTGTTCTTATTCTTCTTATTAAAGTCCGCTCAAAAAATTTAGGCAGCTTAAAGGGAAATGTTCCCGGGTTCCGCTACCACTTTTTTTAGTTAATGTATTTAAATATCAGCTGTCGACTGTTGTTTCCAAGTTACCAAGAGTGTGGTAGAGGGGATACAATAGCTTCCCCTCAAACCACCTAAATGTTGTGAACAGAGCATAGTAAAACATATGTAGGCCTAGTTAAATTCTTGTCCCAACTTACGCCTCAGGATTATAGATAGTATGAGAAGTAGATGTGATCACTTCAACGCCATGTTTCTTTGCTAATTTGGTAACAGCTGCATCTCGTTTTTGCGGATAAGGTTCAATGTCCACTTCAAATGTCAATCTTTTAACATTCCACTTTTTGAATAACTCAGTAAACACTTCTTCTGGAACACCTTCCAAAACATAGAGCCTGTAAAGTTGAGAATATTTTATACATTATTTTGGATCAATAAACATAATATATACCCACCGTACTGTAGAGGGACTAGTAAATTTAAGAAGTGAACTATTAAAGGAATCGCCAACTGATCATATCGTGTAATTTTCAGTACAATAATGACAGTGCCAGTAGATTGTTTGAAGTTAGGGCCTATGTGTATTATAATGTACAAATGAAACTAAACAGATGAATAATCTGTAAAAAGTATGATGTAACACACGTGAAAGCAATAATGAGAATAAGGTGGGCAGGACACACAATACGGGGGGACATGGGGGGGGGGGGTTTACTATTAAAAGAAGCAAGCATAGGAAAGCCAGAAGGGAAACGACCATTAGGAAGGCCCAAGGAGAGATGGTGGGATAGTGTCACCAAGGACATCAGAGAAGTGAAGAGGCAGAATATAGAAAGAGAGCGGTTGTTGGTGCGGCTAAATCCTGCCGTGGGTATAAATGGCCATGGGAGTGAGTGAGTGAGTATGCTGAAAATAAAGTGGGCTGGTTTCAAAATCACATGAATCTTTTGTTATTTTGATCATATATATCTTGAGACCCCTAGAAAAACTAATTCAAAACCAAGTATTAATTTAGACAACAATAGAATTTATTTTATGTTTTTATTTTATTGGACGTTGTCACAACAACTGGATGCTGTGGCAACATAATTCCGAGTATTTATTTTTATTTTTATGTGCTATGTAATTATGGTAGAATAAAATTATTATTTCATTAGGCCTATCATTATTTTTACTTATTTAATATTGATTTTTTGTTGAGCAGTTCATGACATAATTTTATGACAGTTATTTTTTTTTTTAATTCATAGTGTAGCCCCTGAACTGTTGAATAGACTAAAAATTAAGGTACATACCTTCACGTCCACAGTTCATATATGTATGGTTAAACCCACCCGTGGGTTTAACCATACATATATAGTTATTTTTTAGCTTGTTTCCAATTAGGGCATATCTTAGTTAACAATAGGCTACTGTATTATTTTCTAAACAAATGTCCCAAACATTATAGGAGTGAAATGGCTAGATTACTTTTTTTTATCGAACATTTTATCAAGCAATCAAGCTAAAAAAAAAAGAAAAACAATAAATTTAGAGTACTAAATTATCATTAGGCTTACTGTGTATTACACCACTTCATCACCAAGATGCAAAACTCATAAATTAGCATATTATGTTAGGTAATCACGTTAGTTAGCATCTTAGGTATTTACAATGTTAGCCCTAAAGGCCTACTAGGTAGGCCTAGGCTATAAATTTGTTGTTATGAAGCCAAACAGAAGCGTGTTCTTTGAAGCTTCAAACCTAATGTAGGCTACCACATAATAGTGTTATTACAAAATGGGTGGATGGGTCTAACTGTAAACGTTTGACATAGGCTTAAATATTTCTTCGTAAAAATTAAAAATTTAAAAACTATAGAAATTCATTTTCATACCTATAGACAATAACAATGCACCAGTTAAGTCTTTGACTAAATAAAAACATATCATACCTTGAGCCAATTTTGCGAAGATTTTCATCTAAATTTTCAAGAGATTGATGCATGAATCGCCAACGATTTGAGCCGATTCTTCGATGTTTCCAGTAGTAAGAGTCCAAGATGAAAACTGGACGAAGCTGATAAAAATCTCCATCGTTCTATCATAAAAAAAAAAATAAAGAAGAATCAGTTACTAGGCCTATATACTGTAATAAGATCTCTTCTTATCAATAATTGACAGGACAGGGTAAGCATTTGAGTGAGTTAAGAAAGTAGCAGTCAATTTTTGAAGTAGCCCAGACCTAGCCAACACCTGCTGAGAAAATTTAAGTTTAAGTCATCCGCTGTAATGTTGTGACTATTTGCCATGGTCATAAGGAGATCATCACCGTTTCCTGCAACGCAGCAAAAATCTTGTTTATCCCCTGCAATCACGGAAACATTTAACCTCCAAAAATATGGTCAATCATGGCAAAACGTCTCTCACAGTCATAGGAACGTTAACACCAACTTATGTGTCGACGAAATCAAAAAATTCCGCGATCGCAGCCAAATATGAATCATCTACCATAGGCCTACTCGCAGGGACATCCATCAACTCCAGCAATCACAAAAACATTATCGTTGTTAGAGGCTTATCTGTGATCCTGGCAATCTCCTGAGTAGGCTATATCATAAGGTAAAGAAAACATCATCATCGTCTCCAGTGATCGTTAAGAAAATAAAAGTCCCCCGCAGTCACAGGGGCATTATCATCGTCTTCCGCGATGACGTGTGATCAATAAATGTCACTTAACTTACTGTTGTGGCTTGCCACTGAACTGGGAAGGCAAATAAATAATAGAGGAGTACAGGCCTGTATTTCATCTGCAAGAACTACCTATTTGTCTTTTTCGTCAAATGTGAGTGTCTCAGTTGTGATTGAATATGACGATGTCCAACTACTGATTATGACAATGATGTGATATTTCTTGACTTGTTGCCTTCGTTACCACACCGGAACTAGCATCGATAGGCCTACGCTTTAAAACTGGGACAAAAATAATGGTAAATAAACTAAGTTACAATAAATAAATGTCAATTAAGTAATTGGTTCAGCCATTGAATATGAACCTCGGATAGACCAGCCTTTTGTTCCGACCATGGTCTGACGGTCCCGTAGGTGATGGATTACTTAGCGGGGATGTAGGTTACAGTATTTATTTATGGCGTTACCATTTTACAATAATGTATAAACAACATTCATTCACTTAAGCTCAAGAAATTATTTCAAATAATAAATAATAATAGGTATTAACTTAATTTAAATCTACTAAGTTATGATGCTTATTAATGTTAACACAACTTAGGTACATACAACAGAACAACAATCAAGTTAATCATCCAATACCACACAACAACAGCATTTGGTACATTTGGGGATTTTTTTTAACTTACCTATCAGCATGGACGTTTTTTTCTGATTTTTATATCTAGGCAAGGCTAAAAAATAAGTTAAATAAGAAATACTAGTAAAATAGGTGAATGAAAAATAAGTGTCAATTATAGCTAAGCTAGGTTACCTTTTCCAAAGCAGACATCAGGGCAGGGTTATCGTGTATTCTCAGGCCTTTCCTAAACCAATGAATTGATGTAAGTGGTGACATTTTGTTTATAAGAAGGGATTATATAAAACACACTGGTAAAAATTTAAAACTACGTAGGCCTACTACACACAGTCAACTAGAACATCAACAAACAACCAATCGACCTAACCTAACTTAGGAGCAGGACCAGGACCGCTAACGGAATGGGCACACGGGAGGGACTAAGGCAAGGCCGCACTAGATATACAGGCCGTGCTGCTACTTGTGTGACGTCACAACTGTAGGCGGTCCCGCGGCCGCTACACACATAGGCGCGGGTGGGTTCCATAATATCGACAACCGTAGAAATTGATCGAAACTGAATTATTCCCAGTTTGTCGACACTGGAATATTCCCACTTAACCGACATCCCAAATAACCGACGTCGCAAATGATCGACACCACAAATTGTCGACATCCCATATTGTCGACAATGAAATAGTTTCATTTTGTCGACACTGAAATAGTCCCAGTATATCGACAAGCACCCGTTCTTCGGAGCTACTCTTGAAAAGGAGTTGTTCTAATTCATCGTTCAGTTCCTCAACTCACGAGTCGCAATATTTGATTCCGATTCCGAATTCCGACGGACATCTTCAAGCTGGCCATTTATTGACTTAAAACTTTTATATTGTAAATATTTATCTTTTTTATTTCTTTCCTTGTTTACAAGAAAATAGATGACTCGAGTGTTACAAACAATAGTTTTTAAAGAATAATGTGAAATAAGTTAATTTTTATTTGGTAAAAAAAGTAATCAACGTCATAACTTAATAACATTAAGTAGTCCTACCAGACACTAACTTAGGTAAGTCACCAACAAGAACCTAAGATACAGCTTATTCGTAGGCTAATTCTGGATCATCAAGCAATATTGTAGCAAATGTTTGAATAGGCACTATCCCTAGGCTATTAGGATTGTCTCTTTTTCCCACTGACCCAGTGTCAACTTTATAAATTTGTTTATGTAAAAATATTTGGCTGCACTTTAGTTTATGTCCTACATTCATTCAAATGAAAGATATTAATACAAGACTATTTAATATTTTGAATATTTCATTCCGTTAGTTAGGTTAAGTTTTACCCTAACATTACCCAGAATTGATATTAGGCCTAAGTTTATTGAATGAAATAATCAATATGACTGGGACGGGTGGCGTCGTCCTGTAATCCAACTACTAGGAGGTCACGAATTGTGGATATTTATAGGCATGCACTGTGGATGCGATACTCCCTGGTGTGGATTAACGTCCGCACGAGTGAGTACTACGACTATCCGCAGTACTATCCTGATAATTAGACCAATTCGTATATACCAAGGCAATAATGTGGTTCGGATTCCACTATAAACCGTAGGTCCCTTAGTTGCCATTAGCTGTATGGGCTATTAATTAACAGCTGTGTCCAAGGAATGTCGGCCTTAGTCACTAACAAGACTACAAGATCGCGCCACTCATCCTGATCCTACACTCATTTCCATTCATACTTGGCTTAAAATACGGTACCTATAGTGTGATTGTTGACGGAAAGCGGCTGGCTGAAGGGTCGACCATACTCTCACACACGCAGGCCTCACACACACAGACGCAAGGGATTAGGACAGACCATTGTCCTGCCGCACGAGTCATCGCTGGCTCACGGAAATTGAACTATAATTTTTTTTAATTTTACGTTTGTTATAAAATGTGGTAACGATTTTGACTTCAGCTCAAAATGCTTAGTCAAATGATACCTACCAAACAATATATATTTTGCTTACAAAGTGTAAAAGCTACGAATATTTTAACACGTTTTTATTAGCTAGCTACTTGTCATAATCATTTCGTGTTTGGACTCATTTTTCATTGAATTAAACAACAAATTTATTAACACTAACCATTTTACTGTATATCTAAAATCAAATGAATTGCAATTTTGAGGTATCATACAACAGATCTTATATTTCTACTTAGTGAATAGGGGATCGGGGCTTTCAGGCAATTAGGACGGTGGTGAGTGTGCGTGCGTGAGTCGGGTCCCTCACAGGTAGGGCTGAGCTCCAGCCGCACTCCAGTAAAAATCAGACTATACTTTGTATGGTCGCCAAGTAATAAGTAAGAAAGTATTAAAGAAATATATTCATAGGAATGAGTGTAGGACGTAAAATTATGTGCTGTCAAATATTCTAGAGCTGTTTGTATTTGGTGTAAGACTAGACTTGGATTATATAATTCATTGCTATGACATCAATGTTAATTTTATAGATGATCCTGGAGCAAAGGCTGTAATTTGACCTGAACCCAAATTGGTCTCTATTTTAAATATTGTCTTGAACCAATAAGTTAAGAGGACTAACCTTTCTGGACGACATTGCCATCGACATCACTGCAGATGAGAGAGAAAGAGAGACCAGAGTTGTGGACCCTGGAGGCAATTACCATACTGCCGTGATAATGTTACTTGGTCTAACCATAACTTAAGTGAGGTGAACATTCTTTCCCCTTTGTGATAGATTCTAGGCTATGTTTGTTAACTAAGTTATTCAATGTTCAAATTGGTACTTTGGTAAGTATTATCCGGAGGCTACAGATAGGCTATACAGCGCTTTGCGGCGGTTATGTTAGGTTGGGTTATCATAAATAGAAAGAACATTTTTATGTCCTAGGCCTAAACTTACTGTCCATATTTGGGTGGGTTCCATATTATCGACAACCATAGAAACTGATCCAAACTGAATCATTTCATTTAGTGTTGAACAGAGTTTGAACAACTAATTATTTATATGTTTTATGGTAACTTTAGGGAAAATATAATGTGTAACACAAGTGCAAACTGCCTTTGCTGCACTCGAGAAACTTTCCACACTCGCCTACGGCTTGTGCGTAAACATTTCTCTTATGTGTAGCAAAGTGCCACTTCGCCCACTAGTTACCTACACAAATAAACTATATTAATACTAACATTAATAACTACATTAATAGTTTTTGGTGGAACATAAGGATAATTAATTATAATCTTTATGCAAATTTATAGTTTTTTTTATAAAAAATTAAAACTAGGCCCCTACTTAAAATGTATTTGGATACATCTTGAAACATGTTGTTTGGAAATGTCTTAATTAGGCTAGAGCTTGCATTTTTGCAAATTGGGAAATAACAAATAATTAATGTTTAACACGTTCGCTACCGAGCGACGCACATATGCGTTGGTCCGGTCACTCCTACGCTACAGACCAAAAGGAATGATCATGACGTTGCTTACAGACCAAGTGATATAGGAATAACATTGCCAACAGACCAAAAGAGAAATATCGTTTAAATGGACGAATTGACTTCATATTAACCTTAAGTGAATAAGTAAGCAATAAATATTGTTTTTATTTATCGTTTGGAGCAACTTTCAAAACGCTGCATATATGCGTCGGTCAGTTTATTTAATGAAATCTAGATAAAAAGATTACCTACATTTTCGTTTCAATAGACCAGGCGACACACGTTTAAGCGTCGTTGTAAATTTGGTTGTTTCAAGCTTTTACACAAACAAATAAAGAAACTCCACCACTCGCCAAAACTGCAAAGGTTATAACGTTTACATCTGTTCTGAGATGTCGCGGAATGCACAATGTAAACAACAATGTTGCCAACTGTTGTGTGACGTAACCAATCGTCATATCCACAGACCAAGCGACGCACATTTGCGGCAGATATCCCTCTAGACCGATACGATAAAATCAGGGCTTTAAAATAGACCGTTGCTAAGAAATACGCTGATTAATAACATTGAACACCGACGCAAGTGTGCGTCGTTAGTCTATTTCAATGTGATCAGCTGACGCAAATATGCGTCGGTGGTCTATGCGAACGTAAATTCCATATAATTGTGGTAGCGAACAAGTTAAACCAATTTATTTTGTCTAAACCAAATTATTGTTACAAATTCTAATATTTGTACTAACTTGACCCAGATTTGCTCAAACATTTTCCTATTAGCTGTACCTATTTGAATATCGCAAATATAGAAAGGAGTGTACACACTTGTATTATTTGTTGGACTAAAATTATTTGTATAACACTATTTTTTGCAATATTTCTGTACAGAACTGAAGCCTACCAGTAAAATGGGGGCGTTGTAATTAATATCCTCCGACATTGGAGAATACAGGGGAGAGGTGCCAGAGGAAGAGGAGATCGAGGATGGGGCGAAGTAAAGACTAAGATTGAAGAGAACTAACTAATGGTAAGTTTTGCCATTTACTTAAATTTAATACTTATAAAACCAGGGCCGTGTCCATTGCCCCCAAGCCTATGTCGCTTAACCCTCCTGAATTACTAGTATTTAACCAGCATTTTAACTCGAGAGGTGCCCAAAAATTTGCTTTTGTTTTTTAGGAAATGTAGGCTATATTTTTTGACACCATAACTATAATTTTTCTGAATATGTCATAGTTTTTACATTTGGTAAGTACTGAAACAACAATAATTTTAAGACAAATGGAAAAGCCCCTGTCAACAGAAGCAGTTGAAACAAAAAATTCTCATACATCAATAAGGTATTTAGTACAAGCGTGGTTCAATAAGACCTTAGAAGAATATAGAATAACACAATTTGTTGTGATAAATTTGATTTATTTTGCTATAATCTCCTTTTATTCAGCTCTATACACTTATCTTAAAGTTTCTCCAACCTCGTTCAAATTATGTCCAAATAAATAGTACCCTACAAACTTGAAAAGCCTTCAAAATACTCTTCTGTTTCAGTGATGACCAGCTCCATGGCAACTAAAAATGTCCGCTCGTAGGCCTTGAAGCGCCCCTATCCCCACCACCTTCCGCCAGTTACTCGCCCGACAGGGCAGCAAAGAAAACTGTCAGATAATTTTGCCACACTCTGTACGTTATATTTTGTCCTATACAAAATGGGTTATATGGGTCGGCACTTATGTATTGATCCAAACGGTTACTGCAATTGTGGCAAAATTAAACGATATTGTCCTCGGTAATGACCAAATCGTGATTGCAGGGTCATCATCTTCATCTCCCAAGGTTGCCAATGGTTAAAATTGTGGGCATCCTCGGTGCAATCGTGAACATCTTTCGCGGTTGCGAGGCCTGATTATCGTCACCCGCGATCGCTGGTAGTCGTAAATTTCGATCACGCAATCTTTGCAGACGCTTTCGGCTATCATGAGAATACAAGACAAACTTGGATTATTGTACCCCCTAATTCTAACAGATTGTGGGAAAATTTATTTTCCAAGAGAAAAAGCATTCTTTTGAGGCCCCAAGTGAGTCCCCTTCCCAGGCCGAAGCCCTTGGCAATCGCAGTGTCCACTGTTAGGGGAATACGGCCCTGATTTGGAGGCCTATGTTGGTGTGGGGCCTGGTGCAAACCGCCCTCCCCCCCCCCCCTCAGTACGCCACTGAGTAGCCTACATTAAATAATGATAGAAGTATGCATAAAAAGACTCTTTGTTCAGAATACTGTTTTAATTATTAATTTTTGTTCTGTTATATCCACTATCCAGGCCTGATCACAGGGTGGATGGCGATGGAGGCATGGAGGTTGGGGGAGAGGAGGCTGAAGAAGTGGAGACAAATCAGTTTGGATCCATTATGTTGATTAGTTTAACATTTATTTTGAACATCAGTATTTACATTTTTTTCTCATTTAGATTATTAAATTAAGATAATTTTATTGTTTTTATGAAGATTTTTTCTTACATTTTTAATATTTGTTTGTACTTCTGCCTGGTAAAAAAAATACTGTTTATTATGTTTGTTAAAATGATTACTTTCACTAACTTACCTTGTCTTGGGTAACAAGAGATATCTTGATATTTAACTAGCAGGGTGCCTGTTCTATGGGCGGGGATTGTATAAGTCAGTAGAAACCTTCTTATATTTCGATACTTGGTAAATTAATCATTTCCAACTTTATATAGTATAGATCGCTATTCCTGTATTGATGTACTGAAATGAATAAAATTATATGAAATGAAATGTTGTTTTTTATATATTTTGATGACACACTATTAAAAAGGCATAACAATATTCTAGAGTTTATAACAGCTAATGTTTGTGTTTTTATTAATGATTTATTGTGACTTTTGAGTGATTGAAGGATTTGTGATTTGGTTTTAAGGAGATTGATGTACCTAATTTTTTTAACCCTTTGAGTGCCAACGTCCAGGGAACCGGACGTTTTTAAAACGAGCCAAAAGTGCCAACGTCCGGCCGACCAGACGTTTTTAGAACGAGCCAAAAGTGCCAACGTCCGGCTGACCGGACGTTTCGTAATGATCGAACAGTTGTCATAACAACCGAATGGATACTCGGATTCTTTTAACCCATATATTAACATTGAGTCGAAAGTTACTAGATGCGATACATCGATTTTCGTTGGTCGAAATATCGAAAATTCGATTTTTACGAAATTTTAACCTAAAAATCGCCAGATCGCGCTCGGCATTTTAAGCGCGACCTTCGGGAATAATCATCGGCATTTTTTGAGCGTTACTTTTATTTCTCGCCTGGCACTCTAAGGGTTATCTATACTTATTAAATACGCAAGCAGGTTTTTTGTGACAATTACTTTTGAAATTACTGAACCGATTGACATGTTTTTGGTGTCATTGGAAAGAGCATAATGTGAAGTTGTGCAAGAAACTTTCTTTTTAGGGAAATAATTAGAGAGTGAGGACCTGGGGCCCTTTAAAGTTTTGTATTTCTCCATAAGATTAACATGGGAAACAAACATTGTTATGAAACTCCAGCTGTTGTCAGAAATTTAAAGTGAGAAGAAGAACATATGTTAATTGTAAAATTGTGACAGAGAGGTTATGCAGAAAATCAGGTAGTTAATGGTTATTTGGTGCTATTAAAATAAAGACTGAAATTTGTAAACGTACTGGCGACAATGGGTGGTACCACGCAAACTACATTATCATTGACAAAGACCAACATGGAGAACCTATTGCGACTATAAGTGGGAAACATTTCTACAACACACTAAAAGCCCATGGTGGAAGGAAAAAACATAGGTGTGCTATTCCCGTCCTTGTATTGCAAACAAAAGATCACCTGATTGTAACTGTCAAATTAGTATGTATTTGTTTTGATTTGATTGTTAATGTTTTTTTTATAAAAACACACATTATAAAAACAATAACAACCAAATCAAAACAAATACATATACTAATTTGACAGTTATAATCAGGTGATCTTTTGTTTGCAATCCAAGTGACGTCAGAATATGACGGGAATAGCACACCTATGTTTTTTCCTTCCACCATGCTAAAAGCCAGATCAGCTTTTGAAACATGATAAAATATTTACAAGAAATGTTGATTATGTTGAACTGGTAAGTACATTGTGAGTATTATTATTAGTTACGTAATCTTTGGGTTGACTCTTTTAAACTCATCGGAATTTATAACTTATATTATATTTGTTCTTAAACAAGTTATTTGTTTTTAAATAACTCCTTTATGTACTTCTTTGCGATTGCTCGATTTCGAGCAACATATACCTAGTTCAATTTATGGGTCAACTTTTTTTTATAAGAACCGGGTTTCGTTATTCATGTAACTATTGGAACACTTTTTATTATCCTATACTCTAATACGAGCAAGGTTTGCTTGTATGTATGTATGTATGCTTGCACCAAGATCTCGAAAACGGCTCCGACGATTTTCTTCAAATGTTGTAAATAGTTTATTTCTGGCATAAAAACGAATTTACTGCAGTTAGAACTGCCAAAAAAAATTTAATTACGTAGAAAAATGCAACTGAAAATCAATTTTTTTTAACATTAGTCTTATGGGTTGCTAGGTAACCATGTTGGCTGAATTAAATAACAAGTAAAAAGTAAACAACACACTTGAAATTGTAGCATGTGTTCATAATAAGCCAACTACCCACAGTATACAACAAATTACAAATACAGTACAAAAGGTAACACATCACATGTTAATATCTAGCAAAGATTATACTGAAGATTACTCGATACATTGTAGTCAAGGGTAGCAGTGCGAAGTCTGGGATCTGTTTATGACGATTAGATCAAAGTATCTGCAATTCTTAAAATGCTATAGGAAGGGAAGGAAAAAGGCCCGCGACGTAGGAAGTGGTGAGGAAGTAGTTAATGATATGGGAAGGGAGGGAAACAGGTCCGCGACGTAGGAAGTGGTGAAGGTAGTAGTCAAGGCGAGCAGTCGGGAGTGTGGGAACTGTTTATGACGATTAGATTGAGGTATTTGCAATCCTAAAATACTATGGGAAGGGAGGGAAACAGGTCCGTGACGTAGGAAGTGGTGAAGGAAGTAGTCAAGGCGAGCTGTCCGGAGTGTGGGAACTGTTTATGATGATTAGCTTAAGGTATCTGCAATTCTTAAAATGCTATAGGAAGGGAAGGAAACAGATCCGCGACGTAGGAAGTGGTGAAGGAAGTAGTAAAGACAATCATAAATGCTATGGGAATAGAGGGAAACAGGTCTGTGACTTAGGAAGTGATGAATGAAGTAGTCAAAAGGCGAGCAGTCCGGAGTGTGGGAACTGTTTATGACGATTAGATAAGGGTATGGGCAATCCTAAAATGCTATGGGAATGGAGGGAAACATGTCCGTGACGTATGAAGTGGTGAAGGAAGTAGTCAAGGCGAGTAGTCCGGAGTGTGGGAACTGTCTATGAGGATTAGATTGAGGTATCTGCAATCTTAAAATGCTATGGGAAGGGAGGAAAACAGGTCCAAGACGTAGGAAATGGTGTAGGACGTAGTAAAGGCGAGCCGTGTGGAGTTTGGGAATAGATTTATGTATCTCCAATACTAAGACTGCTTTCAGAGTGAACTAATGACTTTTCCCGAGCAAAGCTCGGTCCCCAGGTACTAGTATCCATAATACGAGTAAAAAAATTAAACATAACTAGAAAACACCACGTAGGATTCGAATCAGCTGCTTGATATTGACATTTTGTGGACATTGTGTGACTATTTTTATATATTTCAATCTACTGATGAGGGAATTAAATTAAAAACAATTTATTTAGTATAAAAAGTATAGTTGACTTCCAATTAAAAGGTTTATTATAATAAAATAACTGGATTTGTAATAAAACAACTATTATTATAATAAATACGCAGCAAACCTGCCGTCTAAGCGAATTTCCATTTGTCCGAATTGATTTTCAATTGATCTATTTAAATAACATTATTAGGTTTAACGAGTACCTAGGTTTGCTGCTACAAGGAAACTAATAAAGTAGTGTGTTTTTAGTAAAATATTGATAGCTTACTATAAAATAAATAAATTTGCCAACTTTGATCAAAATATATCCATAAACAAGCAAACTACAACATTTTACAATATTCTCCATAAGAATAACATGGGAATTTTAAATTTACCATTTTTTTAGTTTTCTCCGTAACCAATAACCGTACAAAAACACTTTGATATACTGAATTGTTTGTTTTTTTAAGCTCTTTAAGAAGGTTTAGAGAAAAATTGGGAAATTTTGTGTTTTGAGGGTAAAAAGTGAGAAAAACCCATTTTTACCCCATAAAACCCCCCATAAAACCCTGTTCCCATGGTCCGATCATGCTGGATCGCGAACTCATTCAAGTTTATCCCGCCTTACACCTTCAAACCAAATTTCATCAAAATCAGATAAAAATTACTCAAGTTATCGTGTTTACGGACACATATATATATATATAAATCTATATATATACCTATATATATATATATACATATATAAAAATTTGAACGAATGGTGTTTTTGGCCTCTGGGGACATTAAAATGAAAAAGTAAATCGGTCCCAGGCCTAAGTCTTACCATGAGACCTACGGTAATAGCTACTTCCCTATAGGGAAATTCGCTAAAAGCTAGTGAAGTCATTTTTTATGTTTATGAACCATACCATTTCTGTTCTAATATCGGTGATAACAGTTACAGTAATTCCTTTTACCTACGACCTTTTTTAAAGTAGCCGTTTCAGTTAAGTCCTTTAATACGTCAACAGCTGATCTTGTGTCTTTGTTTTTGTGTCAAATACTGCGTCCATAAAGATTACATAAAAATTTTTAGAGCCAGTGGGGGGGATTCCTTAGAGAGTTTTTTAAACACCATATAGTTGTTAGCACTCACCGATATATGGTCTTTATCACCATGCAAAATTTGAAAATGATTACTTCAGCCGTCTTGGAGGAGATTGCGTATTACGAAATGCATAAGAGTCGACGTATAAGAGCTTCGCTCAATGAGTTATACGATTTTAGATTTTTTTAACATAGAGTAGGTAAGGTGTTTACATATTTCCAGCACAAGGAACCATTTTGATCAATATTTTTGAAGATTTTCAGTGTTTGTTATTGTGTCTGATTAACATGGATATGGATGTCACTGAAATAGCCGCCCTGGAAAATATACCACACAAACTGACCTTTTGAAAATAGGGTTAGGAAAGTAAAAAACTGTCATTGTTAGTGTCAGCCCGGTTTTCTGGCTAGTCAAACTAGCCCATAACTGAATAAGTTACACACACTTACCATGGTTGGAATATGCAGGCAACCTTGTGTTTGCATTGAACAGTATGACAGAACAAAAACCAATAACTTTGTGGTAATGCAAACATCATCTATACAGTAATGAGAATTGAGAATCAAAGATTCATAATTATAATTAATAATTCAGTAATGGAGTAAACAAACAAACAATACATCTTCATAAATAAAATTAGAGTTTTGTCTGCAAATTGCTCAGAATTATATATTAAAACGTTTTTTATTAGCTCGCTTATTTCTTGTCTGGTACAAATTTTGCAATCAATTTTATACTAAGTTCCCGATGAGCTAGAGACTTGAAACTTGAAACATAGCTCACAAATGGATGACAATGCAATATGATATCATTTAATTTTCATATTTCCCTTGTGCTACGCCCCATGGGCTTGTTTTTATTAGCTCGCTAGTCGCTTTCCTACAAATTTTGATATCAATTTTAAA